ACAGGGTCCCTTCCTATGGCAGTTTTTTCTTTCTTTTTTTCAGTCATGTTCCACTGGGAGGAGACCCTGGGGTGGACCTAGTTAGTCCTGAAGGGACAATATAGTCCCAGGATAGGGGGTGCTCTAGGACTCACAAGGTTAGTTGAAAGTGCTGCATGGGCGAGCAATGTAACCTACTTTTAAATAAGCAGAAGCAGTACGATATATATGCTGGTGTTGGTAAGTTATAACTATACATGAGGATATTTTACAGTATACAAAAAAAGCTCTATGAGCTATCTTAAACTCTGCACAATATTTAAAGGCTTCCTCACCATCACATCCTTTCGCTGGTGATGACCAGGGTGATGTGCACCACAGATTAACACTTACATTATGACAAGGTATGAGGTTATCACACTGGTTACTGTAAATATTTAAATTTAAAAAATACCATGTTCTGTGTGAATACTTGATTCTGATTATTTGTTGGGTGTCTGTTCAGAAGTCTTATAAGAGACTTATGCAAAGGTTCTGTAGGCAGATTCTGTTACTTTGACAATGCATAATGATTTATTTAATATATTTTTTCATAAATTACCATGGTATAAGAGAGACAATGGCCTTCAAGGTGTCCAATGGACCTTGTTGAAGCAAACCTCTGACGGTTCACGCCTTTGCATTGTCCACTCATTTCTGACGATAGACACCTCATCTGGCATTTATCCCTTGTGACATTGCCGCGTTATACTATGTTATGGATACATTTTCACGGCTGGAGGACCTTGGAACGTAGTAGAATTAACACAGAACATGTTCTAAGGGTTCACTTAGATTTCCTGGCCCATGATAAGTGCTTGGTATTATGTGGATTTAGATCACGAAGCATTGTTCTTAGATCCATATGCTGAACTGGGTACAGCATTAAGCTTCGGTTATACTTTACACACGTAGGTTCAGCATGGAAAATGTGATGCAGGGACGCAACATCTGATGCTGTTTTACACTATAGATTTTCTCTTGTACCAAATATTCTGGCCAGCTCCAGGGGGACGTGTACAGCACAAACCACTACAGGGTTCCCACAGATCCTTAAAAACTCTTAGGAGGCATTGAATTCCTTAATAAAAATCGAAGGCATTAAAATTATTACCATATCATGAATAGGATTTTATTTTTGTAATCATATCTATCATGAAAATAATTGACAATAATTATTTTACTTTTACCCGAATAGTTTACTGTAACCATTATTAGTTCAATCCCGATAGTGGAACCAATAAAAAAGGATGCTGTGGCCAGACGTTGGGGTTATGCACCACTAACTTCTTATCTGGACAACATGTAGAAGTGTAGATTCAAAATTCTGGCTATCCAGCCAAAAGTTTTCTACATAGCTAAAACCAGGGAATGTATATGAGGCACGGTGTATTTATTGCGCCAATAGCACCAAATCTCTAAATGATGTTAGACGGAGGGCCTACAATGAAAGCAGAAGTATTGTGGACTTTGAGAAGGGAACAGAACAAAGTTTGTGAATTCAGTTCAGTAGTTGTTAAAAATATATCTGTTATTTGTGTGTTTTTTAGCTTTCTTCCTATATGGAAAGTGTTTTTTTTTTCTTAATTTGAAGGAACAGATATCAGATAGTAATGGTTTATTTTAACCTCTTAATATCCATCTCATCTCTGGGAAAATTCGCCTATTTTGCATACCCAAATGGAAAAGCAAATAACTGAGGAACTGTAAGCCCAAATTACATGTGTGATACATTATTTGAAAGCTAACACCTTCTAGTTCCTGAATATATACATTAAAATTGGGTGAGTAAAACATCCAAGCTGCATCAAGCCCAAGCTGCATCAGTTCAAACATGACTCAAAGTTGAGTTTTTTTATTCTCGAAAATAAACTCTTTTTTGAACAGCAGCAATAAAGACATGCTTGCTTGTTGTGGCTGCTTTGTCATGCTGCATTTTGACATGCTGCTATAATTGTGCTTTGGTGTTCACTATGTCCATAAAATGAACTAGGTGGTTATATTGTGGAGACTCTAAGCTTTCCAACGATGTCTAACATTTCTATATTGGTAATCATTTTACTGTGTAATTTTCAAGCATTCTGAGTTATTATGTGTCAGAGCTTAAAATAAAAATTTTGGTGAATTTGTCTCAACCAGCTTTTTTTTGTTTAGAAGTTGTGAAGTTGGACTGAACTTTTTATTTCTAATGGCATTAAAAAGTCTTGAATTTAACTTGCCTTATGTGTAAGGAAGTCACTGGCTTACAACACCACACTTCATGAGGAAATAGAAAACACTTCAGATTCTAACTTTTTGCATAGCCTCTTGGTGCAATCAAAGAGTGACCGTAATTATCAAGAGATTTACTATCTCTGTTTACTATCTATACTTATAGGCTTCATCAGAAGACATTTCTAGAAGTTTATGCTTGCAAACACACACCAGTAGGTGCAATGTGTAGATATTCTGTCTGTAGACACTGTTTGGTGGACTATGGAAGCTAAAACAATGTAATTTGGCCATGTGGACGCCTCAAGCATTGAGAGACTAACGTGTGGGAACCATGAAATCCCTGTGCAATTACAGGTGTTAACTGCTTGGGGGTTTCTGGCAATTAGCTCTTACCAACATGATACCTTATTTTATTTAGGAAAAAAATAATCACCTACTCCATATCTGGCTTTTGGGAATAGACATTTAGTATAGATCCTACACAATGTTTTATCTATGAGACCACTGCTTAGACCACTGGTTATACAAGGTATTGGCAGGAAATTTGTCCTTTTCCTTTGACTTAGAAATTATACATTACTTCTCTGGTCTATAGCATTAAAATCCCATAAAAGCTAGACTTATTGTTGCATTATAGGAAAATGTTTTATAAAGGTGTGAAAACTTTCATCAGTCTGTGTCTACACAAATACAACAATTAATTTCTTACTCATCCATCACAGCATCTTTGCATTTTGTTTTTCACCTCCCACACATATTTTTGTGGTACGCATCCTCTCTAGTAGCTGCTCCGCTTCTTGTAGCCGTTGTCCTGTCATGGGCTGCAACATCCGTCTCCTCTCTTCTCATGCACGTCAAGCGACATCTATGGAGGAGCTTTTTTTCCTGTGCTGGCAAAAAAAGCAACAGAAGCAGAGAAATGTCACCTAAATAAGCAGAGCTACCAAAGCGGAGGTGTAAATTAATCATTTAATTTATCAATTCATGTGAAAAAAATGGGCTCGTGTGGAGACAGTGCTTTGCTGGTGTTGTGTGTGGGTGTTTTGGCAAGAGATGTCCTGGCATGATTCAGAGAACATACACGACACTTGCTGAAAAGTAAAAATCTTTTTTTGTGTGTGGACCCTGCTATTGTCTCAGTAAGTGGAAAACACCTCTCTGCAAACTTTTCAAGCCCTCCAGTTTAGTAATGCCTGGCTTTGCGAAGGAATGATGCATTCTCTCCAGACTTGCGTCAAACCGGCATTTCAGAAGTTTCACTATTTCGTGTCTAATTAATTAACGGCGCTTACAACCTCTGCAGGCTTCTCTCATTTCTCTTTTGTCTGAGTCATTCCCCTCCCTCTCCTCTGTCATACCATATAGACATCTGTGTCGAGGGGCATGTGGCAGAAGTTGCTTCAATCTAATTGTCTTTCCCTGCTCGTACTGTCCTCAAATGACTTTCTGTCTCAACTCTCCCCTCCCTCCCTCGGACTTTCGCCCTGCCCAGTCGCCGTCTCTGTCTGTAACTGTAGCCTGTGTTTTTCTCTCCCTCCCACTCCCTGCGACGTATAGATACTGCATTGATCAGACACACGCGCGCAGACACATGCACACACACTCACCGACCCAGCCTCCCACTCCTTTCATCATTGATTCGCCCTGCTCTTCTCTCTCGCTCTATCTCCTCTATATTCTCTAGCTCCTCTCTTCCCTCTGTACAGCAGCACTTGTTGAATTCAGCCCTTGGAGAGTAGAAAGCAGGGAGAGATGATGATAAGGAGGCATTCAGACGGCGCTCAGGCATACTGCGAGCAGAGAGAATGGGGTCTTGGAGGATGTAAAGATAGGAGGTAGGAAGAGGAAAAGTCAGAGAAGCTTTTTTGTGAGAGACACTTTAGGAGAAAGCGGGAGCCGGCCAGACGGAGGGGAAACAGAGTGCTCTCCTTACTGTCTGTAACTACTCCTCATCTGTCCTGCTCCTGACTGTGCTTAAAACAGAAGACGTAGAACTATCTGGGCTAACAGTGAGCAATATTTCTGCGTGTTAGTAGCGGAAAAGTTATGTGCTGGTTTCCTCCAGGTGAGTGCTTAGGTGCCAGGTTACAAACTAATATCCTTATGCAGCCTACATTGCCTGTGCCTGTGTATCTCTGAATGCATGAACACTTTTATGTAAGTAAGCCAGAGTGCATGTGTTTCTGTATGGAGTTCATGAAGTGGGAGAGAGTGAGTGAGCAAGAGAGTGAGAGAGAGAGGCTTTGTGTGTTTGTGTGTTAAAGAGGCGGTGACATTTTTTCAGTTTGTATTCCTGGAAACTGCTCTGCAGCATTGCTCAATAATGAAACTACTGCTTATATGTATGTGTGTGGGGGTAGGTCGAGAGAAGAAAACAATGATACAAGGTTCATGGAAGTAATGAAGGTGCAAGAATTCCTGGAGAAGGAAGTGTCTCGAATTTATGTGAAAATAAAGAATCTGTCTATCTGAGAGGTAAGGAGAGCGAATGCTGACAAAGGTGTAGCATCAGCAAAACGGAGGAGAATCTATGAACTATGACATAAAAATCTGTCTGTACTCAGTGGGTTTTGTTGCTGAGGAAAAAAAAAAGTTATTGTCAAGGCTATCAAAGTCCAAGCTGCAGGATAACTGCTGTTCATGCATGACAAGCGATACGTGGAATGAGCTTCAGGTTTCCAGGAATTAAAAGTCATGTCAAACAACATAGCCTTAAGAGGTTTCAGTAGGCATGGCGTTGTATTTTTTATGTTTTTTGTCCTGTGGAGTGACTTGGCTCCTCCTCCTCCTCTCCTGTCTCAATCTTTCACCCTCTGTCTTCGCATATCCATCTATCTTTCACACTCCTCTCACTTCTCCCTCAACTGTATTCATTTTCTCACTTAATTTCATCTCAGTGTTCAGTCTTTGCTTCCTCTCAGAAGTGGCTCTCTCTCTCTCTCTCTCTAGCAAATCTATTCCTGTTCTAAACATTCTATTTTTATTTTTTAGAGAAAAAATGTCCAGCAAACATTTTTTTGTTTTTTGTTTAGCTTGTTTTGATTTTACGGATGTCTCTTTAGGTGGAAGAGTGAAAGTCTGAAAGCCCATCTTCCTCTTCCCCTCCGGCCAACATGTCCCAGCTGCTCCATGTGGAGATCCCGAATTTTGGAGCCACGGTTCTGGGCTCCCTCAATGAGCAGCGACTGCTGGGACATCACTGTGACGTATCCATACTCGTCAAAGGTGAGAAGTTGGAGATTCTTTCTTTTTTTTTAGTTACTAAATCTTCCACAAATGTTTTTAAACTTCTCTCTTTCTGTATAAACTAGGTCAAGCTTTTAAAGCCCATCGGGCCGTTTTGGCAGCCAGCAGCCTCTACTTTCGTGACCTTTTCAGCAGCTCAACCAAGACCCAGTTTGAGCTGCCTTCCTCAGTCACACCTGCTTGCTTTGAGCAGATCCTTACATTCTGCTACACAGGGAAGCTAACCATGGCAGCAAGCGAACAGCTGGTTGTCATGTACACAGCTGGCTACCTCCAGATTCAGCACATAGTTGAAAGAGGCATGGACCTAATGTTCAAGGCAAACTCACCTCACTGTGACTCACAAACAGCAGGCTCTCTAGAAGAAGCGGGATCAGAGCCTCAGAGTCCACTTAATAACGGCATCAGCCTGTCGGTGGCTGGCGTTTTGGGAACCCAAAGCTGGTCTACGCCATCCCTTCTATTGCCGCAGCGTAAAATTAAAATAGAAGTAGGTGACCCAACACCAATTTCCACACCCTCAGCGCAAAACAAGATTTCAACCTCAGAGCTGGGGAGTCGTCTGGCTAGGGCCTTCTACACAGCAGCTGGAGGGCAAGTTCCTGGTATTCCTGCTTTCCACCTACAAGGAACAACAGGGGGTGGAGCAGGGAATGGAGCAGGTGGAGGAACTAATGCAGAAAGGTCCAGCCCAGGAGAGTCAAGCCTTCCCACCACAGACAGCCCCACATCTTACCAGAATGATGACGAGGAGTTTGAGGAAGAGCCATATGATGGGATCACAGAGGAGACCTACAGTCACATCTATGGGCGCTCAGCTAACCCCTATGGAAGTGAGTAGAGCTGTGTATTAGTCTAATCTTACTCTGGTTGCTAGAAAGTAATGTCCATAAGCAAAAAAAAAAAAAATGATTAGAAATTTGTGACTGATTTCCAAAGTTCAACTTGTACAGTTATAAAAGATAAAACTTTCTTTCTCTCCAAGAACATTAGTTACAATAAACCTATTTTCTACTTTCTGTAGAAAATTTCTGTAGTTTTCTACTTTCCTATTTTCTAGAAGGAACCTTTTATTGCCTAAAGAGTGAAGTATTTTTTATCAAATACAACAATGCTTTTATTCATAAACAACCCAGTTACAGAACTGTTGCACTCTGCATAATTGAAAATCTACAAATACCTTAAAGTCTGACAAAATATGGATCAGGGATATATTTGCAATTGAACCCAGTTAGCATTGCAACTGTAGATTTATTGGATGCATTATATTAGCTTTACAAAAAAATCCCAACAGTTTTTATTCCATAATGTTCTGCAATAATATAGGACTCTTGAATTGTTTCAGCTTCATCCTTTTTAAAATCTTTGACCTTGTTCAGGAATATCTGCCTTAACAAAACGCTGAGATACCATAAATTAAAAAAATAAAATAATTTTCCTTCTAATAAGTTTCTTCCACCTTTTATGCTTCTAATTTTATTCTTAAACATGCCATTAATGTTCAAAATAACCACATATTCTTCCTGCAACTCTCACTCCTAAGAGTATTGTCAGAAGGAGCTGTTTGCATAAGGTACACAAGATTCACAAACAAATCAGGTTCATGTAATTTCTAATGGTGGATTGCTCCAATGTAATTTTGTCTCATTTCAGGTAATCAGACAATTTCTTTGTGTAAAAACTCCATAACATAGTTCCATAAAAGTACATTTGTTTCTCGACTGTCTTGATGGTTACCTATCCAAAATGCGACAGTCTCGCCTTATAATGACTTACAGAAAATAACTTTAGATGTGTAGAGCTTAAAAGAAGGGGAAGATAAAAGATCCACATTCATTTTTACCCCAGTTGCATTATTTAATCTTTCATAAATGATGTATCCTGCACATCTTAGGAGGCAGGATGTTGTGCCTCCAGAGTTTGTGTGGGTTCTCACATTTTAAAGATGGCCTTATGGAGTTAGGATCGGAGTGCAATAACACAGTCCTTATCGCAGCCCAAACAGCTGGTCTTTGCTTCATATTGTAATGATTTTTTTAAGCATAATTTCTCCTGGTGCAAACGTCTTTATCCATGCAATGATCCAACATAGTTGTGTTTATATGCATTCATGCACAGGAAGCAGTTCTGGGTGATATTTACAAACAGCAGAGGCAAAGTCTTCCCAACAGTCTTTTTTTCAATTCAAAACTGAAAGGATTGATTTCGGGTTTGTTCAATCCTAGAGTTTTAGTAATTCACGAAATCAACTCTATCTGGAATCAGTCAGAGCGCCACAGGGTGACATTGTTGGATATTTGAGAGCTAGAGTATTCACCTCTCTCCTGTGTGTGTGTCTTAGTGCATGTAGGCAATGGTATCACAAATACCAGGAGGAAATCTTTTTTTTTTTTTCTTTTGTACATGTTTATTGGAAATGGTGCATATATTGGTGCTGTTCTCTCTATTTTGTGTATTTTTGCTCTCAGAGATTAGGGAAAACCATTTAAGGGTGAAGAAATGAAACTGTTTTATGGATCTGAGCTCTGAAAGTCAGGTTACTCACGCAGCATCATGACCTATCTGGGATGAATCTGCAATGCTCTGAAACATTTATGAAACAAAACAAACTTGCATCCGATTAGCGAAGCTTCTCCACAAGCTCAATTGCAAATCCTCTATTTTTAATGAGAGAACAGAGGATGATCATAATAATGTGACTTTTGCTTTTTCCAACATAGATAATCCATTTACCAAGTATTACTACTTTTTTTAAAAGTTTTTATTTTTTGTTATATCCAACTTCAAACTTCTAAAATGAGGAGATTTGATACAATAGGCCGGGGCTTTAACTCCAATGTCAAGAGCCAGTCTGCTGCAACTTGTAAATGCCTGTCTTTTTGAAAACCTTTAAATTAAATGCCTGAATCATCACCTTAGAATTCATCAAGTTCTACAAAGGCCTGATAATGAGTCATTCATTTTATTCAGAGGTGCATTGAGAGGCTGAAGAACAGTGGCTACAGAGGAATCTCCACATGGAACCAAAATATCACACAAATGTAAAGAGGAAAAAAATAAGTGATTTTTTTGTGTGTAATCATTAGATCCGATACATTGTTTTGCAGACGGTCCAGATTTAGATTGCAAATTATTCCTGTCCTGTGGACTGATTCTCCTCCAGAGTTACCATGGCCCTCTGGCTGCTTCTGGTGACTGGCCATCTGTTTAAATATACAGTCATGTTTACAGAACAGCTGTATATGCAGACTATATTAGAAGTTTATATATTTGAATTAACTTGTGAAGGACATTAATTGTTTTGGACATTAATTCAGGAATATTAAGTTACTTTGTAGGTTTTTTTTTTCTCCTTTAGGCAAATGATGTTTAATTATATATCATGGCTACTCCATTTCACAATTATGTACCACTGTGTTTGTCTATAATAAATGTGTTTGTGGTATAATAAAGCCTTGTAGTCCATCATGATGTTAGTACTAATCATACAGTTTCTGTTGATGTCTCTTTTTTTTTTTTCTCATAATGATTTTGTCTCTTTTTGACATTAGTCCAAGACAAGCCAGAGTTGGCCGGGATGCCATTGGCTTTGGAGAACCGTAACTGCGTCCTCATCCGCAGAGACCTGGTGGCGCTCCCCGCAAGCCTCATAAGCCAGATAGGGTACCGATGCCACCCTAAGCTCTACACCGAGGGGGACCCGGGCGAGAAGCTGGAATTAGTTGCTGGTATGCATACAAATATTAACCTGACAACAGCCAGATGCATGTCTCGCTCCGCCCAGCTCCACTCACATACATCTGGGAACCCGCTCATTGAAAGTGATTTCCCCAACCGAATTTATGGTCTGTCCAATCAGGACGCAGGGTGGGTGTGTCCTGGAGTGGAGAAGCGACCGTGAGATTCCAACAACAATGGCGGCTCGCATTGAGGAAGCAAGCGTTAGCATTGATGCTGCTATTTCTTCTGTGTTGTCCAATCTATCTGATATTGTTTCATTAAAAGAACATCAGAGAACAGCTTTGAAGGCTTTTGTTGGTGGAAACGATGTTTTCGCCCTTCTCCCGACCGGATTTGGCAAGAGCTTGATCTACCAAATGGCTCCTCCTCTCACAGCGTCACGGGTTAGCTTCGGTGTGAGTGGTTGAAATAGCACGTCAATAAAGATGACAGACAAGTGGCTTATCCAATCATATGCAAGGAGTTTTGATAAGGCCCAGCCTTCAGTAAAGGCAATTCCTATGGCGGGTTCCCAGATGTATGTGAGCGGAGCTAGGCGGAGTGAGACATGCATCTGGCTGTTGTCAGGTTATACAAATATACCTTCCTCTGGGAAATATTAGCATGCACAGATACACTGTTACACCTCATTTACCTTTTACTGATTGTATAAACCCAGATGTAAGTTTACTCCCACTATGTTGATAATGCTGTTCTTTGGTCATTATTGTTTTTTTTCTTTACTTTGTTTTGACTGAATTAGATATAGCATTTAAATTAAACTATTTTAAGTAACATTTCAACAGAAAAAGCTGTCAGACTCTTACTGCTAACATCACGGGGAGGCTAACATTGTGAGGATTTTTGGTAGACATCAGATTAGTCAGATTTATTTTTTTAATTTTATTATTTTTAGCGATGGTGGATTTAATTTAAACGACGGACTTTGCCTGTCTGGAAGGATCATAGATTTGCAGTGTTCGTTTGTGGAGATTAAAGAGTGTGGCAGATGGACAACCATCTCTGCAGATATCATCAATCAGGACTTTATGGAAGAGTGAGCGAGTAGAAGTCAGACTAAAGTAAAAAGCATATGACTTGCTGCAGGGAGTTTGCCAAATGGTCCTTGCAGAGCTCTGAGAATGTAAAGAGATTTTTTTTTTGTCTTGCTGTTATGATGATACAAAAGCTGAATGATGTGGCCTGAATGCTAGATATTGCTCTCAGCTATCAGTAGCAATGACTCTCAAATGGGCTGAAACCATCAGTATACCAGGAGCATGGTAAAAAACAGACTTTTTTTCTTTGACATGGAATGACTTCAACAAAAGGCCTGAACCATTATTCTTCACTAGCTGTATTCTGAGAGACACAGATTATTGGAACAACATTAACTATTTTTGGTTATGTGCGTTAAAGAAGTTTATTCTAATTTAACTGAGGGTCAGTGAACAGGTTTTATTATGTCTTGTAGTCTACAATACTGTCTGGAAGAAAAGTTTTCACCCTACGGTACTTGAAATGTATGTAAAGCACTCCAACAATATTTCCCATGATTTTCTTTTTTTCTTTTTTTTCTTTTTACTAATGAAAGGTTTTGAATTTGTCATGAATTTGTATTCAAATACAGCTTCAAGGCATTTCTTTTGAATAATTAGAAAAGGTTCTGAAGGTCAGATGTCTGGATTGTATTGAAGAATATTGGAAAAAAGAGGGAGAAATTGATAGAGATGCACTTTTCTGATAATAAAAAAGAAGATTTTGAACGATTTTCGATCCCCTTCACAATGTTGTGTTATTTTCCTTTTGTGTTGAGAAATATTTCTAAAAGATGGGACTCCATTTGCAACCTTAACTTAACTGTTATATTGAGGATTAATTGTAGAACGTAAACCAAAGGATTTTCCTCTCCTTTTCTTGTTTCTTATTTAAGCTGGACTTGTTAATAATTTCACTCTTTTAAATAAATCGAATGTAACAGTGTCTAACAGTTAAGTTGATAGAAGAAGAAAAAATACCCTAAAAAGCTCATTCTGCAAGGCATTGTTCTCAGGAAATTCTTTTCTGTTCATGCACCTCAGGAACCCAGGTGTTCATGACACGAGGCCAGCTTATGAACTGCCATCTGTGCGCCGGTATCAAACACAAAGTGTTGCTTCGCCGCCTCTTAGCCACTTTCTTTGACAGGTGAGTTTAAAGCACAGTGCAAGTCGGCAGTTATTGTTTCTCTCTTAGATGTGTGCTTGGTTCCAGCTCTGCTGCTGTTGCCAAATAATCAACTTTCACACTCTATCTGTTGTCATGTTGTGCAATGAAACTAGTTGTGTGTGTTTCTGCGTATTTCAATGTGATTTATTGTATGTTTGTTACTGATTTTGCCCTCTGGTATTTACTGCATATTCCTGTAGAAATACTCTTGCAAATAGCTGTGGGACCGGCATCCGTTCTTCTACGAGTGACCCAAGCAGAAAGCCCCTGGACAGCAGGGTCCTCAATGCTGTGAAACGTAGGTTTATTGAGCAAATATCAGATGCATGTCATGTTAAAGGGTGCTGCTTGACTAAGTGGGCATTGCTGTTGTCTCCTCTTTTGCAGTCTACTGTCAAAACTTTAATCCTAATTTCAAGGAGAGTGAAATGAATGTGATCGCTGCTGACATGTGCACAAATGCACGGCGGGTTCGCAAGAGATGGCTCCCCAAGATCAAGTCCATGCTGCCTGACGGCATGGAAGTGTACCGCGCAGGCATGGGAATGAGTGCTGCTGCTGCTGTTGGTCTGAACCTAGCTCTGGGTGCTCCTCAGTCAGGAGTGCCTCTAACCTTCGAGCACGATTTGAAGAGCTTAGAGCAAAGGCTGTATCCAGATCGCAAGGACCCTATCAGGACTCATGCAGGCAGCCCGAGTTCAGGTGCGGCTGGAGCAGAAGCAGAAGGAGAAGGTGAAGCAGCGGTCCAGGAGGATCATGATGAGGATGACGATGAAGCTGGATCAGAGGGTGCCGATCGATCACTGGGGGTACCAGTCTTGGTGTCAGTGGTCGGATCAGGAGACACGCCCCCTGAGCAGGGGGTGGAAAGTTTTGGACAAAATCTGAGGTTGAACGGACAGTGAATGTCATTCTCATGTTGTGAAATGTGTTTAACACTCACATCTTCTTCTCACCGTGTCATCCATCACTCTTTCTGCTCCTCTGTGCTTCCTTAACTGAGATATTCTGTTTGCCATACACAAAAGCTGAATTCACAACTTTTATCAGCAGAACAGTCGGTCACACATGCATGCGCTCGTGTGCGCTTGTGTATTGACAAATTAAAATGTGTAGTGAAATTAACCCACGCATAGTAAAAGCATACACAGGCATGGCATTAGTTAATACAGAACAGAAACTTTCTCAGATCCAAGTATGTATTCGGTACTCCGGCTTCTGCAGCCTTATTAAAGGTCAAAGAGATGGCTGTAATCATTCATCATATCAGCTCTACACCACCAACAGCTATCTGCCGCAGTTTATAGTTTGCAATGTAATTTTATTTCATAAAAAGACTTGGGAGAACTTTAAGACCTCTTTACAGTACATCACATTACTATCCAGGGATATGTGAGAACATTATCAGTATTACAATTAAAGGCAGGAACTGTGAAAGCACCATTTAGAAAGTAAGAAATCATCTCCTGTCTTTTAACTTACATTGCTTTTTCCAGCATCATCTTCTGAACCTGTCCGCATTTTGTTACATTAACTACAAACTTAGCTAATTTGGAAATGATGTGACAGACCAGCAAAACAGAGCACATAAATGTGAATTGGAAAGAAAGGGATACATGATTTTTTTTTTTATCTCCATTGCAAAAACAATCTAAAAGGAGTACCAATTTCTTTTAAAGTGTATTTACCCTTAATTTTATTAGGTAAATAAGATGATCTGCAAATAGAATGAGTGTTTATACCCATAAAATAAGATAATTGGGTATTATGCACTTTTTTCTTATTTTAAATATAAATTGTCCCATTCTACTGGTAAAGTGTCACACCTACCTGCTCATTTAAATTAGATTTCAGTTTTGTGCAGTGGTGTCATCTCAGTGGGCTCCTTGTTCTCCAATGGACACATTCATCTCCACAGCACAATGCTGCCCCCACCATGTGTGGATAGTGTACTCATGTTAACATGAAAAGTTGGTTTCTTTAGCAAAAAGAGGAATGCTGTGTGTCAGCCAAAAGGTTATGTTTTGATGCAAGCACCTTTTATTCATACAAAGAACAGCTGAACCTCCACTGAGATGAAATCAGCACATAGGGGGTCTTTGTTTACCAATGAGGCCCTTCCTGATCTAAAGGCACATGCCACAGATTTTTTGTTAAAACATTTTTTTTAAATCATGCATCTTATTTCTTCCACAATACGATCATGTGTGACTGTATGCTGATCTGTTATAAATTCCCATTAAAAACATAAACAGTTAGACCAACTTAAAATGTGGAAAAGATCAAGACATTTTTTTCCCTGCAAATGCTATTTCCCTCTTCAGAATCCAACAAATCTGTGGCATATATTTTCTGTTTTCTCGGGCATATCTGACTGTAACATATCAGATTATGCTGTCAATGTGATGCCTGTGTCTGCTCCAGACTCCACATCCCAGCCCACACATATGTATGTGCAAACAAACACATACACTGTTACATTTCTGTAATTTTCGCCTTAAATGTCCGTGCTGATGTAATCAAGTGGCACTCTGTCAATAGGAATATGTTGCATTGCTTTTTAACTCCAAAAATTACAGAATTTTTGGAGATGCAGAGACGTGAACCATAACATAAGATAATGTCAAGCCTTGCATGCATTCATCCAAACAATGAATGGGAAGAATTGCTGAAGTGAACAGCAAAGCCATAGCTCTGCATTGAAATAAGATAGCAGCTACTATTGCCTGGAGCTATGCCATCATAAATCGGAAGCACTTTTTTTCAATTTATTTCTGGAAACAGACTACCAAATGCCACAAATGATCTCGACGTTACTCTGCTTTGACCGTTTTCTGACCCAGACAGAGAAAGTCTGAATTTATTGTTTGTATTTTTATTTTATTTGGAGTACTTCTGAAGAGTGTATTTTTCGCTTAAATGGAGAAGAGTGGATATAGGGAGTGCACTACACTGAGAAAAGAGAAGAGTACTGTTCCACCTTAATGTGTTGGTGTGACGTGTACAAAGTTTGTCCTGTTCCCATTTTCCTTTTGTGTTGTTTTCCTCCTCTCCTATGAGGAAGGGATTTGGAGGGTAAATTATTTAAGAAACTTTTAAGAGCAAATTAGGTTTGTTTACTGCATTTGTACTCAAGAGAGACAGAGGGTGGGGAAGAGGGCCTCTGCAAAAGACTGCAAATAGCCACCACATTACCATGATCGCTTACCCAATCAGACAATCTGTGGGCTCAGATAGAAACAACAGTTCTCTATTGATGATAATTTTCTGTATTTTGTTGGAGGGGAGGGGGACTGAGGCCATGCATTCGTCATGCCTGTTTTCTGTTTTTGATGTCTGATTTCATGCCCTTTGCCATTGCCATGCATAGAACCCAGTCCAAAGAGCCTTTCTTTTTTTTCCTTTCATGCATTGATTTAAAAAGATCCACTGTTAAGTGTTGCTTCTTGTTCTTAGCTTGCTGTGGTCTCAGTCAACAGTCAAAGCACATTGAATCAAAAGAGCAGACCATAGATTTTTATTTTTTGCCATAACTATTCTAAAAATGTTATTATTAAACAAATATTAAGCTGATGACACAAGTGAGGTTAGGATGTTTAAAAGAAATACCCTTAGTTTGACATCTTATGTAATATTTCAGTGATGTAACACTTTAGAGATTGGGCCAAACTCTCTTTGTCTTTTCCTTTTTCTTGGATGAGTTTTTAGATGGCCCTGCAAAAAAAAAAAAAATCCATCCATAAAAAATAAGGGTCACGATTGCACTATAGCTAATGTTAATACGTTTACAGTTTTATTTCTTTGTTTGTTTTTTCCTTTCAGAATGAACTGTAGTCAGCCCTTGATAACCCAGGGTTATGAATGGCCAAGATGATTGATGAATGTAAATTGTAGCATTGCTTTGGTGAGGGTCACAGTCTATTTTTATGATATAGTAAATTATTGAATCTGTGTTTATCATGTGGTTCCATTTTTCTTTTTTTTTTACTCATAAATTGCAATTCTTCAGAAAAATGAACTTTAGATTAACTTAATTAACAGTGACGTTTTGACCTTATCATTTTGAAATGATGCAAACGGGTCTTCCAGTGGGGTGAAGCACAGGCAGCAGTTGCCTAATAAGTGCAAAACTGAGGTTTGTTTCAGGTACTCCACATGATTTTATCCCCCTACGAACGATTTCATATTAATCAAAACAATAATGTGCTTTTCTAATTGTAAAATCACTCAATATTTTTTGTATAATTTATTGGTTGCTCAATTGAGGTAACAAATAAAAACACATAAAGAATTTCTTTGGGTTTACAATCTAAATCCCCTCCAGTTTAGTCAGGAAATTTAACTCCAAAGTTTATTAGATAAATAATTAAATTTACATTTAAAAATGTTTCAACTGTAAAAGCAAGCCACACTTATCCCTTAAACTACATTGAATTTAGAGACACAGTGCATTGAATACATATTAAATCTCCGCTTTCACTAAAGCATCTTCAAACCGAATGTTTTTATCCCCCATTAATTCTAATAGAGTTTTAAGTATCGCTCTAATAAAGAGTGCAGTAACTATAAGGGCCTAGGAAAATGCGATATACTCCATTGCATTGATGAAAGGGGGGTGGAGCAGTGCCTTAGACTGTGAATGTAGGTTTGTGCCATAATAATGTTTAGAAACAAACGAAAGCAAGGAGGTTGTATAGATTAGACTTTTCTCTTACTGAAAATGTTACTCCACACTTTAAAATTATGACTCTAACAACTATTTGATACATTTTAGTTGTCTTATTTTCTTTTGTGTCATCTTTGAATGTATAAAAAAAAATATACTTCCTTTACTACAGTCACTGTGTTTATTTAAGCTTTTATTTAAAATATATAATTGGTTCCTTATTGGACACCCTTGCATGCTGAGCAAGACAGGGCAACCTATCAAGAAATGTAAATACAATCAGATTTATTAATCCAAGTAAGATTTGTACATCTGCTCAAATGTGTCTTCCTCTGAAAACTTTACCTTCGTTCATCATCTTCATTATTTAAAATTAACCTTCTAGCTTCTTGGGGTCTTATTTTTCCATATTGTGCAGAGTAACCAACTGATGTTGCACTTTAAAATAAGAAATTCTCAGAGAGTGTCATGGCTAACTTTTGAGAGAATGGGCTCCAATGGAGGCGCTTATTAGGAAAAAAAGATAAGTAATGTGTATGATTTTTACGGGCTTGTTTGATGGAAACCAGTGTCATGTTTACTGCAAAAGGGGTTGTTGGCTGTGAAGAAACCATTGTTTCATTATTCTTTTTTTTTTTTTTTTTAAGAAAAAACATTTTTTTCTTTTGTTTCCTCTTTTACTGTAAAAATAATAGGCACTGTAATTCTTTTGTTTTGCTCTGCTGAAAGGTTAACCCTGAAAATTATACACTGATATGCAAAAATTACACTTCTATCATAAAATGCATGCCATTCCGATGTTCACCCTAACCCAATGAAACCTCTGATCTTTATGCACCCTGTATTTTATGCTGAATAACTGTTTTTACTGTTTGCAAGCAAAGACTTGGGTTGTCTTGCAGTCAACTGGGCTGTATTTTTTAAATCATAGACCCTGACCTTCATTGAATGTCTGCATAAAATGTAATCTCTTGCATAATCAACAGCAAAGTACTGATTAAGAATGACGTGCATAGACTAACTACCCACTCGGGTGTGCATTTAAATCTTCAGAGACTAAGAAAAGAAATGCAATGGAAAGTTTGTATGTGTATGTCTGTGTCCTCAAACATGATGCCAGCACTTTAGAACTACTTAGAAAACCGAAAGAAAAGAAAAAAAGTGTCAAGGATGACCAAGGCGACAGCTGACATGGGAGTAGATGCAACTTTTAAAGCCATGTGTTCAGAGCGCTGACAATCAGAAAAGGGATGAGGCCCACAGTGCACTATGGGGATGTGAAATGACTTGCTGTGCTTTTGCTATTTGCTATTGTCTTTCATCTTGGTGCAGTCTATACTGACTTACCTTCAGAATGGAAGGATGGGGTTATTGACTGCAGCCTTCTTTGTTTATGTTAGTGTATGTGTTTGCAACAAGGACCGACTCAAACCTTGGTGCTCAACCGACATAGCTGTCTTCAGTTGGCATGGACCTTAACTCTCATTTTTTGGTGATTTGATGATGGACAGCAACTTTTTTTCTTAAAGGACAATTTTATCATGCAACTGCATACTTTGGTCATGGTCTTGTTCCTGACTATCAGCAGGTCTTGGCCCCGGACAAATTTGGATGAGGCTTAGTGTTGATACTGCTTCATAACAGAAATAATGTCGAAATGTTTATGCGCCTTCTGACTCAATCATCAATAATATATACTGGAAATGCAAGTTGCCACTTTTGATGTTGCATAAGAATTAATTCATTCCCATCATCACATTTGCCATTATGGGTATCAAGTTGTGTATATGAGGAGTACCTTATTTCTTTAAATGCAATACAAAAACATGTCTGCTTTCTAATAAAAAAAACCTTACTTCACCATGTTCTGTACTGAGCGGCGTGTTCATTTGTCTTAGTGTCTTTGTGTTCCCAGAGCTGAAAGGCTGCCCCTGGGGATCTGCCTATAGAGCTGACTGCAAAAATCCTATACACAGCAGGGGACCTTACAGAAATGTTTATTTGTTCTTTTTTCACATATGCATAATGCACTCGGGGCATTAAGGTGTTGCCAATAGTAAAAAAACAGTCAATGCTGCGGTTCTACTAAATCATATTTTTCATTAAAAAAAAAAAAAATTTTAAAACAGATATTTAAATGTTTGCAAAAGTTAACATTTGAGCCGAAGGAACCATTTTGAAAAAAAAAAATTGAACCTTTACAATAAAAGTCTGCATAGATACAAACATTAACTTAAGAAAGGCATTGAGTTTTCTTCTTGCTAATGTTTCAGTTTTGTAAATATTATCCAGTAATTATCCATACCCATTTTATTCAACATCCCACTTTCTAAATACTGTCAGAAACGTTGCTTATAAACACCATTAATCAACTTTAAGAAATGTATATTATTCAGATATTGAATTCATTTAAAGTGATTCATGCTGAAAAAAACTGATGAAAAAAACATGTGTTTAATGAATGTATGATCTCTTTATTTCTATTTACACAAAATTTGGTGATGTAAATCAAAATCACAAAATAATAAAGTCACATTAATATATCTGATTTTAAACAGCAAAATCCATATATATATATATATATATATATATATATATATATATATATATATATATATATATATATATATATATATATATATATATATATATATATATATATATATATATATATATATACAGTAGGTGAGTGATGTATGTGCTCTGGAACTCTATTTTAAAATATGTATATGTTCATATATATATATATGAAAAAAAAAAAAAAATATATATATATATATATATATATATATATATATATATGATCTATATATATATATATATATATATATATATATATATATATATATATATATATATATGATCTATATATATATATATATATGATCTATATATATATATATATATATATATATATATATATATATATATATATATATATATATATATATATATATATATATATATATATATATATATATTTTTTTTTTTTTTTTCATATATATATATATGAACATATACATATTTTAAAATATGTATAATAATATATATATATATATATGATCTATGTGCTCTGGCATCTGCTTGCCATCCTTGGATCTTGCTCTACGGTATATTTGCGCGCAGCGTCCTCAGCTTCTCTGATGCATCTCAACTAAACTCATATACGGACTTTCAACAAATAAAATTATCATATCCCTTCTCGGAGAAGGCAGATACTGATACTGGAAATGGGAGACGACGGAGACTCTCCTCCCGAAAGGGAAATGAAGGTAAACTATTGAATACTGCTACCAATTAGCATGTGGAAGCTACTGCGTCAGTTAAGTTTCAGTTAGCGGCTAGCTTAGCTTGGTGCCTCGTTGAACAACTTTAAATTTAAGCATGCTAAGTGTTTTAGTCGAAAACGATATCGTCTTTTACGAAACAACAGTTGAAAGTTATCTATATAAAATTGATTAAATGAAATATTTTGTGTTTAAGTACACACCATGAACTCCTCCGAGTTTTAGCTAGTTAGCTTTGATGCTAGAACATTAGCACAACCTTTAAGCCAGTACATAAGAGTTGAGTAGTTATCCAGTTATTCCTTGTATTTTTCAGTGACAGAAAATAGTGTTGCCATTTACTCCCGTAAAGAGCTGCTTTAATTTTAGCGTTAACCTATTGGTTATTTAATCATATCAAACGACTGTTTAATGTAATGTGTCACTGTTTTCTTCTACAATTTGACATGTAAGCATTGGCAAAAATCCAAGATAGAAACTGTCCTTTTTATGTTTGTAAACAAATTAAAGTGCTGACGATGGTGTTAATATTATTAATATTAATCATTGAGTACATAAGCTATGTTATAAAATAGGTTTTACTTATTCATGTTATGGGAATCACACAACAACTCTGAAAAGGAATCCAGCAGAGGTGGGAATCTGTTGTGGAGGTGGAAATGCAAATGGTTAAAACTAATCTTGTGTAGGCTTTTTATTTTCTGAAGAATTCAGCTATGAAACTGAAGTTATAACAAGACGTTTTAGAAAAGAAAATGTCAGTTTTGATGAAATAACTAAAAAAATTGTTACAGTATGTTAAAGAAAAATTGAATAATGCTAAATAAACAAATTAACACAACTAAAGGTACAGTTGATTCGCAAACCATATTGAGACTGGACAATGATAATTAATTTAAAAGTGTTTGTGATCTTCACTGATGATTAATCCTAAAAGCTATGCATACTATACGTGCAGAAAACATTTATAGCAGGGATTTTAACTGCAAGAATTCACCATTGATGGT